TAGCTCAGAATTCATGATATAGGCAAACTCCTGAAAGTGTTAGTTTTTAGACTTTCATTGAATAACAAACATTCTTATATTTTAATGGCTAATAACCATTGCCCAATTCAATCACAATAGGCACAATATTATATAACTACACATAGAAGTCAGTCGCCTATTACACTAAAGAATTTAGGCAAAAGCAGAAAGAAGAGAGAATGAGAGACCTCCTTCTTTGCCACCAAACGAAGTAAATGAATTTAAAGACTTCTTTTTCTTTTGAAGTAGTGAAACTTGAAGTTTCTGAAACGTTAGTGAAATATTTAAAGTACTGGAAAGCATAGAACAAATTTGTCAAACAATATTATTCTCTTCTAAGTTATATGTTTAACTGACAAAAGAAGAAATTGTGTCTTGCTATTTATAACATAAACTAGCCCCAACCCAAACAAGTGTTTTCTTTTGTCAAATAGGGCTCGCACCCTTTTAAGCAACAACTAAGTAGACAGAGCTAAGCAAATAAATAACTCTATGCAATGTTGCAAAAATCGTGCCTAGGCGGTGGTTGGCTGCCTAGAATTTCGGCAGAATCGCCGTTTTAGGCAGCCGGCCGCCTAGGCGCCGACTAGGTCGCGGCAGACTATGCAGTCGTCTAGGCAGCCTAGGCGGGCGTTTAGGCTACTAGTTAGCTATTTTTCAGTATTTCTTTAAATAGGTTATTTCGCTCAAACCTACGCCGTTTTTAATATTTTAGTACTAACTAAAAGTATTAAATAAGTTATAATTACTAAGTCTTAAATAAATTTTTTTTTTAAATCTTTTAAATTTATATAAAAAAAAAAAAAACGGCCACTAGGCTCCCCCAGGCGCCCGAGGAACGCCTAGCGATTTTTGCAACCTTGACTCTATGAAACAAGAGCAATGATTTTGTTACTATAACAAAAAAGCAGCATTTCAGTGACTATTACCTAGTATTAAAATAATATGCGCTACTTAAAAAACGATCGTATGGTTTGTTTCAGAGTAAGTTTGGCTTATGTACCTAGTAATTAGCTCTTGGTAAAATAAATGCACTAGGAAACCTCGAACATGCAAAAAAAAAAAAAAAACTGATTGGTTCATCCAAAGTAATTCCAGGATGAGCAAACTCATCACTTCCTTGTTAACAGAACTAGTTCATTTGCACTTTCTAGCTATCTCCTACCTCTACATATTGTTGACTGCAATATTGCCGCTGCCACCCACATTCAGCCATAACAGCATTACATTCTACATGGTCAATTTAAGCATGTGTCATGCTTGATGAAGTACAAAACTAGGCAACATAAATGCATTATATAAAGGCTAGCAAGGCTGTAGCTCAGATATTTCAATGCTCAAGTTTATAAGGCTCTAACTTAACTAACAACTAGAATTTGCATCAATGAAGCCTCATTGTATGAAACCAGGGTTGTAAAAATCAGCCTAGGCGCCCCTAGGCCGAGGGGATTTCACCCCAGGCGCTAGGCGCCTCCAGGCACCCGACAAGCGCCTAGTGCCTTCTGCAACATTGCATGAAACAAGACGATGACCTCATGAGTCATGACACAGTAAGCACCAAACACCTAAAGCATAAAAAGAATACTCACAGTACAACAGGGACAACTGTCAGAAACTTCCTGTTGCGTGTTAGCTGTTTGCCGTCATCTACTTGCTCCCACCAAGTCAGTCTATTGTAAATACCCTGATCATCAGAAAAAGGCGTTCCTTTCTTCCAGTGAAAGAAGTAATATGTAACCTGCAGGTAAACACAAACGAAACATCCATTTTGTCATTTGCAATCATATCCTCTCAAGGAAGACAAAAAGAAACATCCTGAACTTATCTGAAGGCCTTCATATATTCTAATCAATTGTTGAAGTCATAAAATCCAACAAAAATCTCCTGCTGTAACATTCCAATAGCCATATCATCAAGGAATACTTGGTTTACTATTATGCTATTTGAAATTATCACTAAAAACACTTTCTCTTATCATGCTCAAGCATAAAGCAAATGTGAATTAAACAATTCGCTACCACATCACACTAAAGAGTGAACTCAAAACAAAAAGCTAAGAACGCTAATGTTTGCTCACTTTGCTGTCTTTAGGTTTCTATTCAATCCTCAGATTTCAGTACAAATTACATTTAGTAAGAACTAGGTAAAACAACTTCAATTGCAAACTAGTTTATCAATAATTAGTGAAACAAACTATCAAGTTATCACGAAAAGAAATCATATGCATCATCAGAGTGTGTTTGCGCTGCGTATACTTACGATACAATGGGAGAGGTGGACAATGGTCCAAGCAATGCCGAGAGAGCATCCGGTAAAAGAGGAGACGATGAGCCAGGAAAACAAGAGTATGAATATGTAGGTGGACCACACCCCCGGGTACGTGAACCACTCGGTGTTCCGATTTAGATCCGTCGGCGGCGGCGCCCGTACATACAAATTTGCCATCAAATTCAAGCCGCCGTGGAATGTGATCGCTAAGCAGAGCAGAGAGAGAGGACTAGAGGAGACGGAAGCAAATTGAACAAATATTTATCATATTTAAATTAAATATTTACGGGCGAGATTTTTATTAAATTCAAATTAAATATTAAATAATTATATTATGACTTATTATCTACTATACTATCTATCTACCATACTAATAAGAGTCCAAGAGAATTAAGCCTATAATGGGTAAAAAAATGGCGGTCAAAAGTTTTAATCAAATGAATGACCTAGATTGATCAGATTTTAATTTTTCCTTAAGATTTTTTAATTTATCCTTAATGAATATGATTATCCGTTAACTTTTTCGTTAAATATTATCTTTTCCGTTAATTTCTGTTAGTTCACCCTTAACTTACTCATTGATTTCAATAAGAAATGTCTTAGCTTCGAACCTCATCTCAATCAAAATTGGCATAATTAGTACTCTATTTTACTCTTATTAAATTAAATTAAATAATAATTTAGTAGCTACAACACAAAATAATACATATGCATTTCTTTAATTTAGAATTATGTGTCTACAATGTCTTTATTCAAAAAAAATTATTCATTATCAATATCTACCATACTAATAAGAGCCCAAGAGAGTTAGGCCTATAATGGGTAGAAAAAATGACGGTTAAAAGTTTTAATCGAATGAATGGCTCAGATTGATCAGATTTTAATTTTTCCTTAAGATTTCCTAATTTATCCTTAATGAATATGATTATCTGTTAACTTTTTCGTTAAATATTATCTTTTCCGTTAATTTCTGTTAGTTCACCACTTCACCCTTAACTTACTCATTGATTTCAATAAGAAATGTCTTAGCTTCGAACCTCATCTCAATCAAAGTTGGCATAAATAGTACTCTATTTTACTCTTATTAAATTAAATTAAATAATAATTTAGTAGCTACAACAGAAAATAATACATATGCATTTCTTTAATTTAAAATTATGTGTCTACAATGTCTTTATTCAAAAAAAAAAATTATTCATTATCAATAAATTAAATAAGAGAAATAATTTCATTAATTATATTGTATTTATTTTTCTCCAATATAAAAATTATTTACATTCAAATTCATAAATTGATTATATTCGCTACATTGTCCCTACAATGACTTTATTAAAAAAAAATTATCCATTATCAATAAATTAATTAAGAGAAATAATTTTATTAGTTATATTGTCTTTATATTTCTCCTATGTAAAAATTCTTTACATTCAAATTCATCAATTGATTATATTCACTACATTGTCCATTATCTTTTTTGTGCACTATTTTTAATTAAATATCAAAGTTATAATACAAAATAATGCTATATATTTATTTACCCAAGTATTTTATTAATACAATGAAAAATTTTAAAAATATAAGAGAAAATTTCAATTTTGGTCATATGACTATAGGGGATTTGTTAATTTTAGCACCTGACTTTCAAAAGTGTCAATTTAGTATCTTGAGTATGTAATTTTTGTCAATTTTGGTCACTCTGGCCAAATTTCGCCAGAAAAAGACGACTTTACCAGACTTCAAAAGACGATTTTGACTCTCAGATTATAGACTAAATGAATGATTAAATTTTTCCGGCGAAATTTGACCGGCAATTTAATCGGAATGACCAAAATTGATAAAAATTGCATAGTCAAGGTACAAAATTGACACTTTTAAAAGTCGGGTGTTGAAATTAACAAAGCCCCTATAGTCATATGACCAAAATAGAAATTTTCTAAAAATATAATTAATAAAGCCAATCATATTAACTACTTTGAGAGAATTGTTGGCAAAGAGAGTATTCAAATCGCACAACAGATTGAAGTGAGAACTACATTGCAATGTCCTTGTTTGACAATCAGCAGTTAGCAGTTAATGTTAGCGGATTATATTAGCAAATTTGAAATTATATCAACGGTTGGTAAAAAGATATTTGAAAAAATTAGCTATTTATATTAACATGTAAAATGACCTAAGGTTATAATAATAATAATAATAATAATAATAATAATAATAATAATAATAATAATAATAATAATAATAATAATAACAATAACAATAACAATAACAATAACAACAACAACAACAACAACAACAACAACAATAATAATAATAATAATAATAATAATAATAATAATAATTGTTTTAAAAAATATAAAAATATAAAAATATAAAAATATAAAAATATAATTAAGCCAATCATATTAACTACTTGGAGATTTATTGAAAAAGAATATGCAAATCACACAACAAATTGAAATGGAAACTATCTCGCAATGTTCTTGTTTGACAATCAGCAGTTTTTTTGTTTGTTTAAGGAGGGGAGTACCCATGCATTCATACCAGAATAAAAAAGGCAAAGTCTAATACAAGAGGCCATGCCTCCCTGAAGGAATACCAACGTAGTAAATAAGAGTCAGTTTTAATAGATTTCTGTGGAGTTCGGATAGAAAAAAAAAAAAAAAAAACTTACATTAATTCTCGTCATCGATTTTTCTCAAAAGTTTTCTTTGATGGAGCAACAAATTAAGCCTTTCGTAGGAGGACTGTCTCATGACACTAACGAACAAACCCTAAGGGATTACTTTAGTAAATATGGAGAGATCAAAAGCTCTAAGACCATTAGAAACAGAATCACTGGTTCGGGCAGAGGTTTTGGTTTTATCGTGTTCCCAGACAGCTCTCTTGTTGAACATGTCTTGAGTGATACCCATGTCATCCTCGAAAAAAAGGTTATTATTATTTGCGTTTTCTGATTTAATTTTCTCACAATTTAACTCAATAGGATAATTTTTTTTGTCTTTAATTTATCATTAGATTGTTGCTATACTTGAAGTGCAATCAATTCATATACACATATTTTTGTGACAAAAAGGTTGAGTAATCTTCCATTCCAGGCGCCCCACATCATAGCCCATACAATGTATTATTTAATGCTAGATATAAATTGAATATATTATTGAATTGTAAAAATTGTGTTTGAGCGTCTGAGATTATATTCCTGGTATGTGATTGATTTAGGTCTTAAATTATGCATTAAAAAAAAAAAAACTCTAATAATATAATGCTATCTCTAGCTCAATTGGTTTGTTTATGATTTTATTATTTATAACCATAAAAATATTTGGTTAAGAATTTGTAGTTGGTACAATATAATGTTGTCGTAGGTGGAAGTGAAGGTGGCTAAACCCAAGGGTTCGAGAGAAGCTGTGTTGGAGACTCGTGTTAAGAAGATTTTTGTAGGGGGTATACCGCCAGACTCCACAAATGAGGAATTGAAGGAACATTTGGAGAAATATGGTACTGTGGAACATGCCGAGATTAGACGTCCGATGGGGTTTGGGTTTGTCACCTTTGAATCCAAGGAAGCTGCGAAAACTGCACTGAGAAACCGTTTCCAGCATATGAAGAATAAGACGGTGGAGGTCAAGGTTGCAAAGGTTAAGCCAAAAGTTTGCCTGAATAATGGTATGACAAATTCCCTTACCCTAACTTGTGGTGGTAACGTGACTTTTCCAATTTTTCCCACTACTACTAACTGCCCTTATGGTCACCCACACTCGGTAAACTATGTTCCTTATTATACGTCAGCACCTATACTTAAGTGAATTTTGTTATAATTTTTATTTTCCTGGCTACTACAATGGTGGGCATTGGAAACATTTAAATAACCCTAACCCACTTGTTGTTATCGGACCACCCCTTGCCAATAGCCAACCTGTTGTTATCCGACCACCTCCTAGCCGACCTATTGTCATCCGACCACCTCCTCCTCCTAGCCGACCTGTTGTCATCTGACCACTCCCGGTAAAAGTAGAAGAACAAAATGGCAATGTGGCTGAGGAAATTGATGAAATACAAGATGAAATTGACGGCGAAAGTGTTACTAATGGTGAAGTGCAAACCCAAGATGAAATTGATGGGAAAATTCTTACCGAGGCTGCTATAAGCGCTGGTGATTCCTTTTAAAGAAATGCATGTTTTAGTTGTTATAATATTGTGTTGGATTTGTGAACCAATGGCCGTAAATCTATGCATGATTCCTTTCAAGACAGTTGCTTTAATGAGTTGTTATAATATCATGTTATATTGTTTGGATTTTCCTTTTGCATGGTTGTTAATTTGGGCAATCAGCAGTTAGCTCTTCTTAGTATATATTTAATATTTTATGCCATAATTTTTATTTGATCTCCCTTATGTTCCGTATTTGATTTCAACCATACCTATACAATTATTTTAGTGACAGTTATAATCAATCTTGACTATATTATCTTGCATTTGTAAATTTAGAATTGCCTATTTAAATACGCAAATTTAACATTCAATTATCTATGCATGAACAATTCCAATATAATCTTTCCTTGATATACTTTAAAATACTTATTTTAAGAAAAAAAAATATTGAGTATTATCTCAATCGCGCAATGCGCGTAAAAACTAGTAATTCTAATAATGTTTAAAGTACCAACTATTCAACTAAGACTCCTTTCTTTCTATTTTATGTGTCTGGTCAACCAGACTTGATTAAAGTTATTTATAATTTAACTTTTTATAATATTACATTTATATTAGTATATAAAATTTATATATTTAGAAACTACATTAAAACTATTATTATTAAACACATAAAAATTAAAAATTAATAATAAAAAAAAAAAGCAAAGGAAAAATGTTGATTTAGTCAATGAATAATAAACACAATACGTAAAATAGGACAAAAGAGAATATAATATAGTAATTGTAATGAACAAGTGAAAATAAATAAATAAATAAAATAATAATAATAATAATAATAAATTTAGTAATAATGTGATAATTATTTTAAAATTTCCATGTAAGGGACAAAGTAAATCAACACTTTTGATTCAATAGTTTTTTTTTTTTTCTATTAAAGGTTGAAGTAATTAATTAAATCATATATGTTGTTTTAAAATAATTCACTAATTATCTAAAAATATAATAAGACTATTTAGGTTATACCATTGATTTATGTTCCTTTTTTATGTTAAAATTTTTATACATTATTCTATAAGAGTTGTACTATATAATTTTCTGGACAAAAATATCTTTATTGTTATAACTTCTGTTATATTTTTTCATTATTATTATCATGCACATGCACAGGGCCGGTTTTAGATTTTTGTGGCCCTTTTCGGGTAAATAAATAAAGCCCTACCAAAATTAAAATCTATAAAACTAATACCGTAATTTTATTATCTAAATATATAACAAAAAAAAAAATTATCTGTGCATCGCACGCACACTGCACGGATAATTGGGCAATTATTTGCTCGAATTCAAGCAAGGATAACATAAAAAAAAACATAATCGATACAACTCATTTCATCAATTGCACTATATAATATTCATTGTTATAATTTAAAGATTATAAAAAATCTTTTCCATGCAACGCACAGGTAAAAATAGACATATTATGGAATAATAATAATAGTGTGCACAAGTTTTGAACCTTAGACCTCAAAGTTAAAATACAATAAATACATGTTCCTACCATTTCTTTATAAAGCCTTTTAAGTTTAATTAAAAAGTTTTAATTTTTATTTCTAAACTAACTAGGTAAAAATAAAATATTGAGCTTCTAAAATTTGAGCCGCTCTGAAATTGGGGTCCTGTGCGGTAGCCCAACTTGCACAGCCCAAAATCCGGGCCTGCACATGCATACACAATATTTTTTCAATGGTAATAATATGTGTAAACATTATATATATTGGAGTAATATAAGGAATAATTATAAATTGAATTAAAAATAATTTCTGTCAAACCTCGTTAAACAAATTAGACATATAAAATGGGATGAAAGGAGTATAATATATGCATATGGAGTAAGCCAATAACTATTCAAAGAGCCAAACTTAAAACTTTAGGATTACCAAACCAATTATCTTATCGAAAAAAATGCATAATTAGCCTCGAAAGAGGTGGCCGAATGGACAACTTTGATTCTTACAAATACCTTATACTATTTTAAACTTTCAATACAAAATATATACTCCGTACTATATAAACTTCTATTTCTTGAAGAGGCAAGAATATATCTCTAGTCTTTAAAATAGCAGCTATGCTGTGCTTACTACTATCAAAAGCACATGAGCACATCTGCTAAGATCAATACTGAGAATGGGGGAACAAGAAATTCTAACTTCTAAACAACACATATCTATATGCCATGAAGGGTCATACCCCATCTATAATTCAATCAGAGCATATGCAATGACCAAAAACCAATGTTGAAAAAATCGTCAGGCACCTAGAAGGCGCCTAGGGACCGCCTAGGAGGCTGAGCGCCTAGCACCTAGACGCAATTTTTGCAACACTGCCAAAAACAAAACCTTCAAAATCTTTATATCAGCTACATCGCGCCCGCTTAAGGGTGGGCATGTCTGTTTGGTCATGATTGAGCTCTCTTTTACAGCACTCATTGTTGGTGATAACTTCACAGCCATGGAACAAAACCATGTCCTCGACTTTCACCTTAACGACATCCGCCCTCACGCCAATGTCAGTCGCGTACCTGCTAAAGCAATACATCCCGGCTGTTGCCAACACCATACCCACAGGGCTCGATGTGAATAGCTTGAGCGGGGAAGAAAGCATGGCTGCCAAAGGCGCACTTATAACAGCACAAGCTTGACCGCTTCTCCCCAAACCTCCCTGGTCGTGAATGACAAGGCCGGTTTTACAGTACAAGGCAAAATCCTCGCAGTTTCTCTCGAAGATGTCATAGTTGCCGAACCCATTTTGAAGCAAATACATGGCCCTGTGGATCACCGCTTCAGGGGGATCAGATTTCGCAGTGGTGCATGTGCCTCCGCGGAATTTTGTAAGGAAAACAGAGGGGCTCGCCTCATACTCAAAGCAATACAACGATCCTTCCCCGAGAAAACACTCCAAGCAAGATAGAACTACTCCGCTTTCACTTTTCCGAAATCCACAGTCAGGAATACTTGAGCATCCTGAACTGGGAGTAGAACTGAGAAAAGGATATTCAGTTGAGTCCATCTTTTCTTCACGAGTAAAATGGACCACTTTGTTTCCACCAACATATATTCCTATAAACTCAAATTGTAAGAATGACAGAAGTTGATATTACTGATTCTAGACATTTAGAAATGCTTATGTTGAAAACAATACCAATTTCCAAGTTGAAATTAAGGCAATTAGGGAACACTGAAACACTAACATATATTCCTATTAAATCAAATTGTAAGAATGATAGAAACTGAAATTACTGATACTAGGCATTTAGAAATGCTAAATCTGTTGAAAACAATACCGAATTTCAAGTTGAACGAGTTGAAATTAAGGCAATTAGGAAACACTAACATTTAGCAACCCTAGCATTCTTGAAATAGTATAGAAAATTTCCCAATTGCTAGGTCCCCAGACCATAAATTTCCCTTTCAGGTTAAATACTTGAACAATTAGGGGAAAATAGAGCAACTTTTTCCAGTCGGAAACAAACACAAGTGTTTCTGCGTACAGGAAAAAAAAAATTGTAATGGGGTTTGAATACAAACCATGATGAGCGTAAGCGAAGACGGTTCTCCAACTGTATATGTGGTCACCTGCTGCTATATCGCTTCTTCCTACTCTCTGTGAGAGCAGACCCATTCTCTCTCTCTCTCAATTAGCAGTCACTAAACCTTTTTTTTTTTTTTTTTTTGAGAAAAGCAGTCACTAAACCTAAAACCATCTTATGCCAAAACTCAAAAACTAAAAAAAATGAGTAAATATTCAAAATGGTCCATCGACTATAGCTAAATTTATAAATTGATTCTCGATTCTCAATTTCAACCAATTAAGTCCTTAACTTTGCAATTTTGACACGATTTGATCCTCCATCTATTTAACCGTTTGTCGGAGCACATGGAGGCATCCAAGATGACGTTGCACAGGTTCGGAAACACGTCGTCTTCTTCGCTCTGGTACGAACTCAACTATATTGAATCCAAAGAGAGGATGAAGAAAGGCGACCGGATTTGGTAGATTGCTTTCGGCAGTGAATTCAAATGTAACAGTGCGATCTGGAAATGCAACCAGAACCTTAAAAAACCGACGATGGACCACGAAATTACATATATATCCTAAAAAATTGCAGTCAACAAACGGTCAAATAGACAGAGGATCAAATTGTGTTAAAATTGCAAAGTTAAGGACTTAATTGGTTGAAATTGAAAATCGAGGACCAATTTGTGAATTTAGCTATAGTCGAGGGACCATTTTAGGTATTTACTCTAAAAAAATTTAGGGGGGGGGGGGGGGGGGGGGGGGGGGGTGGAAATAGAGTTAAATAGATCATTAAATTAATTGAGTTTGTATAATTGGATATTTGGATTCCTAAATAAAGATTTGAGCAGTTGCATCTTCAAATTATCCAAAGAAAAAGTGTTAAGGGTCTAAAAGGCATTTTAACTATATAGTAAAGTGTAGTTTTTTTTTTTTTTTTTTTTTAATATTATTGACTTTATTACAAGTTAGTGTTTGTTCTATACTTTCTCTAACTAATGTAGCTCAAAGAGTCAATATAGTAAAGTGTAATTAGATTTCCAAGCATTCAAAAAAAAAAAAAAAGATTTCCAAACTTAAAAAAAAATATTTAATTACACTATTAAACTTGTTAAAATTTTGCAATTTACATATTTAACACGCCCCGCGAGATAGATGAGCCATGGAAACTCCAATTTTGTCCCGAAAATAAGCAAACATGCACCACCCAAGAGGATTAGTGAGTAAGTCCACTACCTGCTGAATAGACCGTATATGTTGAACACGTAGCAACTCATCTGCAATCCGTTTCCGCACAAAGAAGTAGTTTAGCGCCAAATGCTTCATCCAAGAATGAAACACCTAGTTTCCACACACATAGGTCGCACTCAAATTATCCATAACTAACACTAGGGGACTTGGCAAAACCACACCAAGCTCAGACAGAAGATACTGAATCCACAAGAATTCGACAGCTAAGTTAGCCAGAGCTCGAAACTCAACTTCAGTAGACGACCGAGAAATAGAACGCTGCTTCACGGACTTCCAAAACACAACATTAGCACCAAGATAAACCACATAAGCCATAGTAGACTGGTCATCGTCACGAACACCCCCAATTAGAGTCAGAATATGCCACGAGCGAGGTAGCCAATGAGAGGGACAAACTCAGACGAAGAAGCAAATCATAATGTATCGTGCCTTTCAAATACCTCATTACATGCTTAACCGTGGACCAATGACCATCCACATGCTTGGACATGAACTGAGCTAGTTTGTTCACAGCAAACGCAATGTCCCGTAGAGTAATCTCCATATATATATATATATATATATATATATATATATATATATATGATAGGTTGGATGGATTCTAGGTGAATTTTATACATAAAACTTGAATCTAACTCTATCCACGACTCACTATCACCCAAATAAATTCGTGTGAATATCAACGAGACGGATTGAAATTGTTATCCCTAATTTTATTATAAATCTTTGAAATTCTTGGATGATTCCGGAAGTGAATTGCTGCTGAGTTCTCTGACTGCATTGTTATTGTTCTAGTTTGCTCTCATTGTTTAGAGTTGTTGTGTTAAGGTTTTATTGTATAAAAGCAAAATTATTCCACATGGCCTATTAGCTCAGTTGGTTAGAGTGTTGTGCCAACAACGTGAAGGTTGCAGGTTCGAGGCCTGCATGTGGGCCATGCCATTTTTGGCAGAAAATGGAGACATCTAGTTTATCAGTAGGCATTTAAAGACAAAATTACCAATTTTCAGTACTGGACCATTTCCACAGAAGCTAGAAGGACAATAGAATATTTTGAACCATCAAAAACCTTAAAATTATCAACAACCTGGTATTCCACGAGCGACAGACCTTAGCTTGCTTCAACGGCTGGTTAATGTTGCCGATGAAGACAACGAGAAGTTCTTAATGAAACTCAGGAACAAAATAGTTTAAAGGTCAAAAAGGTTAATTGTAAAATTTTAATAAGTTCAAAGATATAATTGAATTTTATTTTTTCATAGTTTAATTGCACTTTAGTATATAGTTGGAAGATCTATTTCACTCTTATCTCAAACACTCAAAGAGAAATGATACATCTTCCTTCTAAGTTTCTTCTAATATTTTTCTCATGATGTGGTTCATATTCATTGGGTGTCATAAATTAGCTAATCACACACATTTTTTTATCAAATAATATTAAATAACCCAATTAGACGGTGCCTTATCTTGAGTCAAAATTATGAGTTTGTTGTAATTGAGTCTTTTTAGCGCAATTTACTGAAATATTTCTATATTAATATATTGTAATTTGGTCTTCTTTAGCTCAATCAATCGGAATAATTTTATAATAATCGTACATCAAAAACATAGTAGAGAGAAGATATTAGAGTTGACTGGAGGAGGAGGGAAACTAATTTATTAAAAGTCTTTGAAATTCTTGGATGATTCCAGAAGTGAAATGCTGCGTGAGTTCTTGTTATTGTTCTATTTTGCTTTCATTTTTTAGAATTGTTGTGTTAAGGTTTTTATTCTATAAAAGCAAAATTATTTCATATGGCCTATTAGCTCAGTTGGTTAGAGCGTCGTGCTAATAACGCGAAGGTCGCAGGTTCGAGACCTGCATGGGCCATTATCTTTTTGGCTGACCCCAAGTACCCCTTCCTGATCCAATACATGACTTCATATTCTGCAGAACTTCTTACCTCAAGAAAATGGAGGTGTAAAATATTAGGATCTAGTTTATCAGCAAGGTTGCAAAAAGGCGTTTAAAAAAAAAAAGTAAAATAAAATAAAATTTATTTAATACTTTAATAGTTAGTACTAAAATATTAAAACATTTAGAATTATAAAATGTATAAAAATTTAAAGAATCAAAACACAAAACAAAGTCACAACTCACAAAGTATTAATATTAGAGTATTTGATTTCATTTTTGTTTTGAGTTTGAGACCAATTTAAACAATTTAGAGTTATTTTACTAAAAACGGTTGTGTCGATTTAAATGAAATAACCCATTTAAAAAACACAAGAAAATAGCTAATCGGTAGCCTAAATGCCTAGGCCGCTGCGACCTAGGCGATGCCTAGACCGCCTAGAACGGCGATTTTACCAAAATTCTAGGCGGCAGTCACCGCCCTGCGCCTAGGCACCATTTTTGTGACCTGGTTTATCACTTATGACCTGGTTTATCACTTATCAGTAAGCATTTAAAGACAAAATTAGCAATTATCAGTATTGGACCATTTCCACAGAAGCAAACATTTTCCTTAGCTCCTTGATATTTTGTTTTTTCATTAAAAACAAAGGACAATTATGTTCTCATCAATTTTTTCTAATTATTGTATAGGATAAGATAAAATTATAATTGTTTTTATACTCATTATTTTTTACAATTCCAAATCCAATCAAAGAATGAAATTTATATTCTCAGTAATTTCATTTCCACCAGCCAAACAATGGAATTCATTTTCCATAGAATTCCAATTTCACTTTCCTTCAAATATTTTTTAGCGAACCAAACGAGAAAAGTATTATCTTGAGTGTTTTATCATTTGGCAAGTAAACTTTGATTGAGTGATCACTTGAGCTCCTAAGAAAACATAATGCTTAAAACTTTGGCTTTCGATAATTAATGAATATAACTTCTGTGAGTGTAAATATACAATATATTTCCATTAGCTTTCTTTGTCTTCAATCCGGAGAAAAAAAATAAAAATCAAGACAACCATATCCACTCTACAGCATTTTAAAAGTGCACCAGAACATATAGAACTATAGAAGTGCAGTTCTTCAAGGTTACATTCATAACACTTAGAAATAAAAGAAGAAAAATAATACTGTAATTAAATCACAGTCACACACAAAATACCTTAGTCAGATGACAATGGAGAAGGACGCTTCTGGAAATAAAAAAATGTTTGCTTCGATCCTTGTCTTTGTAATATGGCATTTGGTGTTTTGACTTGTGAGCTAAATCACATCAACTCAAGTATTCAACCCAAAGTAAACCGTCCATAACTGGCAAATGGCTTCATAGTATAGCAAACCTTAGTTGAACGTCATGTTCCAATCTGATTTCCGAGAACACTCCTAGCTCCTAGTGCTTCCTTCCCGTGTGATCCTCCCCGTCTTTATCCGAGTGCTCGGGATCTTTAGAAGGCTTCTCAGGGACTCTCCACTTAAGTTTATTATCTCTCCATTGTCCCAAAGGTAAGTTTTTATGATCGGGCATTATCTCCTGTAAACAAAAAGGGGTGAAACGAAGATAGACACAAGCTTAAAACTTGTAGACCGTTAAGTTCTTGTGTGGTTTTGAAGGCTTTACCTCTTCGTATATTGTGCTATCTGTTTTCCCAGTGAATGTTGATAGATGCTTTCTAGCCTCACTGAAGAACTGCAATCCCTGGATGTCTCCATCTTTTATACTGGCTTCAAGCTGCCAAAACGCACTGGCCAATTAGGACTACGTGAGCAAAATTGGTTCCTCGTGGGTTTTTGAGCAGAAGATAAAACACCTGAATATGAAGAATGCACAAGAGAATACTCGCAATTGGAAGCCAGCTCTCTTCGGGTGATAGTGACAGATTTGTCCTACAGCAATACAAAAGCTTCGGAATCATAATGGAGCATGTTTATACAAAGCACACAAATGACGGTCACTGCCATTGAGACCAAAACCTTTCACCATATCCATTGTACTTTTTGTGACGAATTTAGATATTTCATATCATCCAGTAAGCACATCTGAGGCATTTCAACTTTTCAAGCAATCTTATGAAGTGCAAGCAGGTTCATCAACGCAATTTTAAAGTTCATTTGAAGATATCTATGAAACTTGCAAAAAGTCTTATTACCATACAAACTCTAGCTTCACATCAAACAAGAAAAATAGCAATCCAAGTGTCTTAAAGCACATCTATTTCTGTCATCAACTTTCTTGCATTGGTTCTTGTCATAAACAACTCAAAACCGGGCAAGCAAAAGTCATTTAATTGCTTGATCATAGAGTTAATACCCAATTTAGTCCTCGACTACTATGGTTTTTCTCAATTTAGTCCTAAACGTCCTTTTTTGCTGAATTGGGTCCTTAACTTGGATGGTTTTACCTAATTGAGTCCTTGGGAAATTTCCCCACTATTAATACTCAATTCAGTCTTCAACTATAGTGATTTTACTCAAATTAGTCCTCCACTTTTCTCGATTTAGTCCTTGATTCTAACATTCAAATACTCAATTACGTAAAATCATCAAAGTCTAGGATTCAATTAAGCACAAAAAGACGTGTAGGATTAAACCGAGAAAACTCACTATAATCAAGGACTAAATTGAGTATGAACTACTTTTATCATAAATCCTCTGCTTTCCAACCCATTCTCCTAGAAGCTGAACAACAAACCGCTCTAACTTGACAAGAAACCAAATCAATAATTCAATTTTTTTTGTTTTTTTTACAAACATTTGGAACCTTAATCAACACGAATCTCCAGATGATTTTACCTCAAGTAAGGAGCCAAATACACAATAGCATACACCGCGTATCTCCTCTTCCCTGTATCCAACCATGCGAAAACCCAACTCTAGCAATAAACGATCAGGAAAAATGAAATTTAAGTAGAAAATCAAAACCCCATTTTTTTCTGTGTAATGAATAAATACTTACTGGATTCTAGTATGATATGAAATTATGAATATCTCAAAAAACTTACCATCCAATTGAAATATGGGATGAAGCTAATAATCCCCATGACAGCGAACCTGGCATCGGCGGAGTCAATCACCGAGTCAGTTTCCTCCTCGTCCGGCGAGGGAGTGACCGGGAACACCAGCGAGTTGAGAATGCACGCGCCGATAGCGACGGCGATCGGCGCGTCATTGGCCAGCTCCGCCCTGCACCTGCCAATTCCGAATCTTCTCTACGACCCAGAAAGGGGAACAGAAGATGAAAACCGGGATTTTCGTAAACTATATCAACAGATTACAACAAATTAACATGGAATTTTTAGATAAGCACCTGATTAAGGCTTTTCCGGAGGCGGCGGAGTTGGTGTTTGTTCAGGGGTTTAAGGGATTGTATGAGAGAGGGGTTTAAGGAGAGAGAATTTGAGCGGAGAAGCGGAGAAGTGGCGGTGGTGAGGGAAATCATGGCCTTGAGCGGGCGGAGGAAGAAGAAGAAGTAGAGAAAGAGCAGATGAGAAAAGCTTTAGCATCTAAATTGCGCCGGGTGGCCGAGGAGGAGTAGGTTAAGGATTTTCCATTTCTGCACGTTTTAGGAAACTGTGCCATAAATAACTTGAAGGGGATAATTGGGAAAAAGTTTGTATTTCATCATTTTAATTTTCAAATTATAAATTTGTTCAATTTCATTCCAACTATACAATTGTTAATCAAAATGATCCTCAATTAGAACTGTTTTGGTTTAGATCAACGACTATTTTAAATGAAAATTGCATAGTTGAGATAAAATTAAATAAGTTTGAAAGTCGAGAACCAAAATAATGAAGTCTTAATAATCGAAAACCAAACCAGGTATTAACTCATTGAGAATTATAAATTCTATTGCGTCTGGCTAAAGTTCATCATCTTATTATCATGCTATTCTTGTAATTAATTACAATCTTTTCAAAAAAAGCAACATTTTTATTTGATACATAAGTTTTCTAACCTACGACAGACTAATTCTAGATATTCAAAATTTATAATTAAAAGTTATTGAATGAGATAAATCGTGAGTTGTCTACGTTTTTTCTTGTATGTACACTTCTGCAAGACTTTAGGATGATTGATTTAACAAGTGAACTATCTCCGCAAGATGAAAATGACATATTTCATGTCGTATATCCTATCTATTTTTGGTAGTTGAATTAGTTTTGACTTAAAAGATTTTGATATTTTAATTTTAAGCATAGTGCGTAGAAAAAATATAGTTCATGAAAGATGTATTTGGTGTGTTGGTTCCATTGTTGTCCAATGGCTCATGCTGTTGAAACCAAAAGCATTTTCAAATTAAACAGGCAATATCAATGCAACAAACACTTGGTAGGAATGAATCGAAATAAAAAGAGTAGGTATGGGACAGTGCGGGAATTATGTTTAAAGTGGACAGATTCCTTATACGTGTTGATATTTGGTCTTGTTTACTGGGCCATTGAGTACCGTAATTTAATACTCCCAAATATTTTGTCGGATCAGAGTGAGAAAGACCCTTGAAATTGGAGATTCAATCTTTTGGGAGAAGAAGAATCGAAAGAAAAAGAGAAGGTAAAGCTGATCGAGCTGAGCTTCCACCACATGCAATCTGTCTCACCACAAAATTATATACAAATTGGAATGAAAATGATATATACAAACTCAAGTTGCCATATCAAACACATTCATTAAGGTCATTCCCAATAGAGAGATTTTGCATAGATTTTAAGAAAAAAATAATGTGTCGGAGGAGAGAGAGGGATGAGATTGTTGTGTTATTATGAGATTTTGTCATGGTTTTAAGGGTTTTGGTTTTTTTTTTTTTTTTTTTTTTTTTTTTTTCAGTTTTTTTTTTCTTTTCTTTTTTTTTTTTCTTTTCACCCATTTCTCTTTCCTAATCACACATTCACAAATGCAAAATCTCATCAAAATCCTACAACTATTGAAGATGTCCTTAGACGATAAACGTTTCACATTTGCATGTGTGGATTAAATATTAATAATAATTCAATGTAGTAATTTTTCAATTGGGCTTCATAAGGGACCCAAGTAAGAAAAATCTGGTCATGGGATTAAAAGTAGTAAAAATTTACAATGTCAATACTATTATTAGTATCGATATAATCATACTTGATATAATTATATATCATACATAATTGTACAAAGTTTTATTGATAATAATTTTAAATGATAATTTGTGTAATTATATGAAGTAGGGAATGGGGAGAATAAGTTGATCTGGGGACATCCCTGATTACCAGATTATCCTAGTCCCTTAATACAGACGATAATGCATGTGGAACTGCGGGAAGTTAGAGTGGTGGGTTTGATTGACCAACAGACAAAGACCTGGAATCTCCATATTTTAAATGATTTGTTTGACCCAGATGATGTGGCTCGTATTTTCAGGATCCCTGTGAGCCTGGATTATGAAGACACTTGGTATTGGTATAGGGATCCAAGAGGTATATATTATGTTAAGAATGCATATAGGCAGATTGTTGGAGATTTTGAGCATAATCCTGGTGCCTTTGATAGATGAATTACATTGTGGAAATTGAAGGTCCCCGCGAAATGGAATACTTTTTTTGTGGAGAGCTGTATGTGATATTCTCCCTACCACAAACAACCTGATTATAAAGAGAGTGCAAGTGGACCCAACATGCCCTCTGTGTGATACATCTCATGAACATGTTATGCATACACTAACTAACTTCTTGTGACTATTCTAAAATAGTATGGAATATTTCGGGTTTGCCTGTTACAAATATTGTTGCTACTACTTTTCCAGAATGGCTAGTGGGTGCTATGACCAACTTAACAGAGGAGCAATTTGCCATGACAGTTGCGGTTCTTTACCACTTATGGAACGCCCAAAACGATGTCGTATGGAGAAGGGCCCTGCCACGACCAACCGCTACATGGAGATGAGCTGCGGCTGCCAGGGCTGCTTATGCCGAGGCACACTGCCCAGGCACGACTCATGCTGCACTGCCGGCTGCACCATTGCCGCAAGGTTGCCCATGCTGCTTCTTCGATGAAGGATATCGTCCGCATTCGGGCTGTTAGTAATGTTATTATTTGTTATCCTAAGTCTAGTCATATCTTGTATTAGAATAAGTCTTGTTTAACTAGGCTATTAGTTAGGAGATAATAGTGGTATAGTTTTATATACTCTCCTGTATCTCTGTTCTGTTTGAATGGAATAACATTTGTTTCTCTAATCTGGTATCAGCCAAAAGTCGATCCTCCCTCTCTCCTTTCTTCATCGACAACCACCGTAAACCTCCCACCACCACCATGTCATCCAATTCCTCCGAGAGGACTATTTCCGCCGCGGTGGCTCATCCCCGTCTGGCAACAACCCACTAACGGGAGCTCATCACTTCATATCTATGAAGTTGACATCCAGAAATTTTCTATTCTGGCGTACCCAGCTCATTCCCTTTCTTCTTGGGCATCGAGACAATTGAGACTGAAGGTAGTATGGTACTATCTCAACGGCGTTACATGACAGACTTACTCGGGCGTGCTGGGATGACCGATTGCAAGCCTCTCACTACGCTAGCTGTCGTCACTAAACCAGTTACCTCGTCTGATGAACTGTTTGATAATCCCACACAGTATCGTCGAATAGTAAGGGAGCTGCAGTATCTCACCATCACACGCCCGGACCTCTCTTTTTCGATCAACCGACTGTGTCAATTCATGCATGCACCGACTGTTGATCATTGGGCCTTGGTTAAGCGTGTGTTGCGCTATGTCAAGGGTACTCTTGCTTATGGGTTGCGGATCACGGGTTCACCGATTACTACTATACACGCCTACTCAGACTCTGACTGAGCCGGTTGTCCTACAGACAAGAAGAGCACCAGTGGTTATGCTGTGTTTCTCGGGGACAATCTCATCTCTTGGCAGTCTAGGAAGCAGCGCACCGTGGCTCGCTCATCCACCGAAGCTGAATATAAGGCCTTAGCCGATGTTGCAGCTGAGGTGACCTGGGTTGTGTCTTTACTCCCCGAGTTAGGTCTGCACGGCAGGCAACCTTCCAGCATTTGGTGTGATAACTTGGGTGCCACTTATCTCTGCGCTAATCCAGTTTTCCACGCACGAACGAAGCATGTCGAGATCGACTATCTTTTGTTCGTGACAAGGTTGTGACTGGGGAATTTATTGTTAATTATGTATCGACCAAGGATCAGCTCGCCGATGTCTTCACCAAACCGCTACCAGGACCACGTTTTGTTACTCTACGGACCAAGCTCAATGTGGTTTCTCACCTACCTTGTGTTTGAGAGGGTGTGTTAGTAATGTTATTATTTGTTATTATTATTTGTTATCCTAAGTCTAGTCATATCTTGTATTAGAATAAGTCTTGTTTGACTAGGCTATTAGTTAGGAGATAATAGTGGTATAGTTTTATATACTCTCCTGTATCTCTGTTCTGTTTGAACTGAATAACATTTGTTTCTCTAATCCGGGCGACGCAACTTACGGAGTTGTATTGTTTCACCCGGATGGCTCTTTGAAGGCGGCAACAAATGGCAAACTACGAGGTTGTTTCTCACCCCCTATGGCAGATGCTCTCGCATGCAAGAAAGCGTTATCATAGCTTAAGGAGCGTAACGAATGAATGTGGATATGTTGACTGATTGCTCAGAACTCCGACACCATTTACTATCTAGCCCTACGACTATCATATCCTATGTAGGGGTGGTGGTGGACCAATGTCGGGCAGCTATAGCCCTTTTTTCTTATTGCTCTTTGAATGTTATTTCTAGATTAGTTAATGTTAGTGCTCATACTTTAGCTACGTTAGCTTTTAATTAGGATCACTTTATGTACTGGAACTATGTCCCTCCTGATTGTTTGGCTCCTTTCATTAATTAAAATATGCCAAAGCTCTTTGGCTTTCAAAAAAAAAATGAAGTATATAATTGTACGACAATTCACATTAGTGTCGATCAGTACTTTATAATTTTTCATATATATAATAATAAATATACTTTTATTTAGATATTGCTTGTCACTTCTTTATAAAATTAAAATTGTCAATTATTTTGTTGACAACAAATTTTTAAATAATTATGATATTTATTTTACTAATTAACTTAATATTTTAAATTTTGAGGAATGGGGATAAAACTCAAAATCATTAATTAAAGAACTCAATTGGTACTCAGTTGCTCTCTTAAGTGGGAGGTGATAGGTTCAAATCTTTTAAGGCAAGTAGTGTGTATGTAGAGTATCCCCGTCTTTATATTAAAAAAAAAAAAACTAATTAAAGAACTAACATTAACATTAGCTTTTTATATTTATTAACTAATCTTTTGTGTTGCACAAGCTTTGGATTTTTCTTCTTTTCATAAATTACCGTGACTAGAATTTTAAAAATATTTTGAATTATAAATGGTCACGAAAAAATGCTCTCATCTTTTGCTATGTACTAAACCAACAGTTATTGGGTAGACCACGGTCTAAAAATATATCGTTTCGTTTAATTTTTAATTTTTTTTTATTTCTTTTCACGTGATCTGCTGCAGCATACATGTTTATAACTCATAATGTGCATTATATAAAGCATAATGTACATTATTTTAACTCATAAATTACATTATTCTAACTCATAAAATACATTATTTTACCCTAAAAGTTTCATTATTCTAACACATGTGTACATTATTCTAATCAGTGTTGAAAAATACGCTAAGCGCCCGATATTTTATTTTATTTTATTATTTTTAAGGTTTTTGGCCAAAACGACGTCGTTTTGGCGAATAATCTAAAAAAAAAAAAAATTGGGGTTCAACTGCCTAGGCAGCAGCGGAGGAGGCCGATTCCAGTATTTCTTGACGCGGTCAGGCACCGCCTAGGCGCGATTTTTACAAAATTAATTCTAACACATAAAATACATTTTTCTAACTCATAAAAATCAACGACATTATTTTGGACCGTGTACACAGCTCTGTGAACCGTATTTGCCCCCACCCATTCACCTCAGTCCTCAACAGTCCATTTTATTCATCTATAGCTAGAGGGCTTGTATTATGGGCCTTCATCTTCAACAATGGCCTATAGGCTTGATTGGGGCAAATTATATCGTGCACCGTGGTGCATAATTAATTATGCACTGAGTTTTAAAACGATGTCGTTTTGTTTAGTGAAAACAGATGGCACTTATTTTGCACCGTTCCGCAAAAAGTAACTCTGTTATTCAGTTTCATTTTGTATACACTGCAGTTTTAGTTCAACACAACTACAGTTCCATTTCGATATAACTACAGCTTCATTGCACAATATACACTCAAATATGTAAAATGTTATTCAATTTCATTTTATATAAACTGTAGTTTCATTTCACCACAACTACAGTATCATTTTGATATAACTACAGTTTCATTTGATAATATATAAAATAATACGTGAGGCAGTGTCAGTTTAGATACATTGTAGTTTCAATTAGTAATTAACACACCAAAAATTGCGCGCTCCGTTAACAGTAACGATGCCGTTTTGACTGTGGCGCACGTGCACCGCGGTCCATGATATAACAACTGCTTGATTGGTATGAAAGTTTATATCGAGTTTTAAATGAGCTTTTATGCTGTCGTATCCTTTATATAATAAAGCTATATGGTTTGGGAAATATTTAATGTTACAATTAATGCAACAACATCCTTTATTAAAAAAAAAAAAAACACAACATTTTAAAAAATAAAATAGTTATATATTATATAATCATATAAAAAATATACTTTTGAAAAATAAAATAGCTATATATTATATAATCATATAAAAAAATGTGTTCAATTAGAGTTTAAATTTACACCTACAAAATTTGAAATTTGCTTTCCAAATGTAATTATCTTAATTATTATTCGTATTGTGAAAATTATAATATAGATGAAATACAATGAAGAATAAATCAATGTAATTATGTAAATTCTCTCTATAAATTTATTTGAATATGCACATAATTAGAGATTATATTAACCATACAAAATTATAATTTTAATTTTAATTGTAATTTTGTATTCTATAAAAATAATAAATACTTGACTAATGGAAGCTCAAAAATATTATTATATTAAATAATTTAAAATATTTTATTTTTTCTATTTTTTATTTATATTTATAATAACATAATTTTTTTCCGTGCATCGCGCGGGTGAATTACTAGTTGTTTGGTAATGGCAAGTTGTTTGATATTGGGCCAGGGTACAAAAACTCTAAGCTAGTTTGGGCTGGGCTTTCATACCCTTTGAATTATATTTTTATACTTTTCAGATAAAATTCTCTCATATACACTTATTTTATTTTGTGTCTAACTCAATTAATGAGAACTTTTTTTTTCTTTTTTCTTTTTTTTTTTTATCCAGAGTTTCTATCGTCAAACACAGTGATAGTCCCCTTATTGAATTGTATGAAATTCTTTTGGGTGAGACAGTTGGCATAGATATTTAAGGCTACTCCATACCCAAAACCAATGATCGAACTCTTAACCTTTGATTAAGAATGGATGAGTCCCTTCCACTCAACCACATCTCCGGGTTATTTTAAATTATTTATAATTCAATATTTTTTTTTTTATAAAAAGTATTAATTAGTTTAGAGTTGGGAACAAATTTTTATATTTGGAAAGTACATAAAATGTATAATTAACCTCGAAACGATAAATTCAAACAATTTTAAGAAATTATTTACAGAAAATAAGTGAGCAAGTAAGAATTAATTTCGTCTTTAAATACTAAATATCCCACTTAAATTAATACAAATGGAGTATGATGTTAAGGGGCAATGCCATATGGATATTCTTTTATTTTATTTTATTTTTTATACCGATTCTTTTACATTCGATGTCATTAGTTAAAATATTTGGTGAAAATTATGGTCTAATATCATGTTTATGAATAAGCAACTTGATGATATTTGGATCAAATTTCTGTATGTGTGATGTTACATTTCTCTAATGATTTCACCTCCTTATGCGCTATTATATGATTGATTATATTCTTTTTGTATTTGATTAATTAGTAAAATTATTTATTATCGCAAGGTAGAGTCGGCCATCAATTTATACATCCAATAAATAAAAAAATATTTTATTACCAGGGGTGGACATTATAGAGTAAAATAGCGAGTGAAATATTATTATTATTCTGTTGTCAAATCTTATATTAAATGATATGATAATATGTAACAAGCATCATACCATTTCATGTTCATTAATTATCATAAATTGACTAATCTCATCATAAATTAATAAGATAAAACCATATTAAATGATATAAATTTGATTTAAAAAAAATTATTCCATATAACATTACTGTCCTAAAATATCAAGCTAGCTCCAAACCCTTATATGCTTGAATAGATATAGAGGCCATAGACATGGAGTGTGGCTAGCACGAGATTGGTCCCAAATTTTGGGATAATAATGAATCAAATTTTTATTCTTGATATGACAAAATTGTTTTTATCCCAATTAAGTAGACTACAAATAATGCTCATCTCTATTTGTTGCGTACAAAAAGTATGAATATAAGAACAATGTTATAAACCCAAAAAATTTTAATCATTTAACGTAATTTTAGATAAGTAACTTGACAATTCGTAATATATAGTTGATCAATGAATGTAAAGCAACAATAACACATATATATTACATGCTACAAAACAGGAATGACTTGTCGATAGTGTTCAAAGGAAAAAAAAAAAAAAAAAAGTGAATGGCAGTAAAGCATTGGAGACTAATGATTACATGAGAAAGATGGCATATCATAAAACACTAATTTTTTTATCGAATTGTATTAAATCATGTTATGGCACGCAATAAGTGTCGCACTACACTTTGATATTTATTACCATGCTGTATAATAATTGCTATGAATTGATTGATCATATTATAAATTAATTAGATAAAATCATGTTAAAAAGATAACAAAATTCGATACAAAAAGTTTGTTCTTGTAGGCCATATATATAGCATTATTGTCCTAGCTAAAATATCAAGCTAGCTCCACCTCCATATATGCTCGAGTAGATAGAGACCATAGACATGGAGTGTGGCCAGCACAAGATTGGTCCCAAAGTTGGGATAAGGGATGGAATTTTTATTTTCATTTTGAAGTGACATAAAAAAAATAATAATAACCCAATTC